GTGGCTGGTTTCTTTCGCCGTAGTGAAAGTGGTAATACCGATATGGAGATCCGGTGTTGCTCTGTTTATCCCGATGTCGACTAACTATGGATGACGATGTGGAATGCGCTTTGTGATGCGAGTGGAAGTTGGGTTTGGGTTGGAGTCGTGGCAGGAGTCGAAGCAGAGGATGGAGATTTAATATGGGAACGCCTCAAAATGACATCAAACGAAGTCGATTGTGCCGAACGAACGTCGAAGCGGCAGCGACTCGCATTCAAAGCATTTCAAAAGCAACGAGCAGAGCTATAGAGGGATGAAGATAAACTGATCATGATGATGAGCCATGAGAAATGGTGAGGATCACAGCAGTATTTACTATACGCCGTAGAAACAATCGTTACGAGGGCTGCAGGCATCGACATGCATCAGTCGCGAACATCAACCCGGACTTTGCCGCTTCCACACCGATCGAAGAAACTACCGACTGCTCTTTGGCTCCTCTCGAATAGAGAACGCGTCGCATTTTGGTTAAAAATGATATTGTTACTTATTACTCAAAGATCTTTGTTTTGAATGAGTCCTGATGTAATTGCTCATTCAGTAAGAATCATGGGGACATGGCGAAGTTGGTATCGCAATCGCTTTGCATGCGAAAGGCCCTGGGTTCAATTCCCAGTGTCTCCATTTTTTTTATCACGCACAACCATACAATGTGTTGCTGCTTTCCTTTTTTGAGCGAGAACTCTTTGGTTTATCCGCCATCTTCTCTCACGATTAAAAACAAAAAGAACAGAAAGGTTGGATCGTCCATCGATTGCCAGACAGGATGCATTGAACGATGATGCCGACACCTCTTCTGGACTCTCATACGCCTTTTTGAAGCTTTCGCTTCTTATGCACATTCTCCTTCTCTCACGATGGTAACTCACAAAAAATGAACGGTTTGGCTCGTTCGCCGATGGCCAGACAGGAGGATGCCGCGAACGACACCGAAACCTACTTTTGGACTTTTGAACCGGACTTTCGCCTTTTTAAAAAAATTACGGCACTTTCGTTCAAAACTAAAGCTTCTTTTACACTCGTATCAGCCGTCTCTTCCTCTCACGATGGTGGCTCTTCCACCGATCGTCAGACAGGACAACGCCTTTGTTCAATGTTTCGCCTTTTATAAAAACTTACGGCATTTTTTTACAAAAAAATTCTTTTTATGCCGCCTCTCGGGATCGAACCGAGTACCTTAAGATCTTCAGTCTTACGCTCTCCCAGGTGAGCTAAGGCGG